GGGAAAGAGGGTCTGAGTGTGTATGGGTACGAGTTGCTATTGCTGTGTACTACTGTACTGGCAATCCGTGTGTGTGTGTGTGTTTGCACACTCATGCCTGCCAATATGTGTGTCTCTGGGCCGCTGCCCTCTGCTGGATTTCACAAACACTGGTTTCAGTGCATGTACATGTAATTGTGTTTGTGTACTACAGCTGTACAGCAGATACAATCCGTATCTATATCTGCATGTATGAGCATGCATGTGCAATCCAGTCCTCTGCAGTCTATTAAAGTAGATAGTCAGAACTGCTTGACTGTGTTGTGAGCCTTTTGGACATTTCCATTTCTCCAGGTAGTCCGTTCCAACTCTTGACCGTCCTTATCCTCAGCAAGTTCCTCCTTATCTCCTGCTTAATTTTCTCTGTGGCATCTTGAGGCTGTTGCACCTAGTCTTGTCCCTTGCGACCAAGAGAAAAGCCCATCTCCATCCTCTCTACAGTCACACTTTGGGTATTTGAAGGCTGTTATCCCACCCCTCTCATGGTGCTGGCCTGGCTTCCCTTTCAGATTATCAGCTGACCAGTGCCGAGTTGTCGTCGCTGCCGGCGTTCAGCTCTCCGGGTGGATTATCGCTGGGCAGTATCTCCGCCTGGCAGCAACAGCAGCAGCAACAGCCGCAGCAGCCCCAACAGCCACAGCAGCAACAGCCCCAACAGCCACAGCAGCCACAGCCACCCCAGCAGCAGCAACAGCAGCAGCAGCAACAGCAGCAGCAGCAACACCTGGTTCCTGTATCGCTAAGCAACTTAATGTAAGTGAAGCGGGGGCCTGGGTCACTGCAGGGGCGGGGGGTTGATGGAGGTGTTGGCTGGAACAGGTCACCCTGCCAGGTACTGCAACAGATCGGGGAGCAAAGGGGTTAGGAGGAGCTAGGATGCCTGGGTACCAATCCTGACTTGCCCCTGGAAGCCAAGTCATATTCCCCCTCTTGAGTCTCACTGTCCTCCTCATTTAAAACAAGGAGACTATTATGGATGTAGCCCACAGAGTGTCAGACACCGGGAGGGGGCCTGGGTAGCTTTTGTAGGAAGCCACAAAAAAAGCCATGACCGCAACAGTGTCTGATTTGCACTATGGTGATTGGCACCATAGCAGCCGGCACTGCCCCAGGTTTTGAAATGATCACAGGATTCATAGGCTGATAGGAAAGTCAGGCTGGAAGGGACTTCTCGAGGTCACATGTAGTCAAGGCAGGATCAGTCCTGACTCAACTGAGCTTCCCGGCAGTGCCTCTGGTAAGATGCTGTGAGGTTTTTCTCTGGAAGTGCTTGAGAAGAACAGGAATCCGAACTCATGGTAGAGGTGATGTCTTTTATTAGACCAACTAGATTTTTGCAAAAAAAATCTTTAATTGCAAACTTTCAGGCACAAGCACCCTTCATCAGGCATAAGAGAAAAGATTATAAAAGTTCTCCCAGGTAGAAATGAAAATTCATATTTCATAGGAGAGTTTAAGGTGTGGTAAAATGTCCTGTGTGGCAAGGCCAGCGTATTCTTATTGCCTTCATATTAGAGAGGGTTGATTTCTAATCCATGCTGCCTCCTGGGCATCTCAAGTGCTTACCCTGAAATGTGAAGTCATTGGGGAAACTTTTTTTTTGGTTGCATTTGCTCTGCTCTGGATACATGATGCTGAGGCCCAAAGTGGGGAGGCTCTATGAAGACATGGTTGGAGAAAAGGACCTTTGTCATGTGGGGAAAAAATGGACTTTTCAGTGAAAACTTGCACTGTGGGAGTCCGGAGATGCTGGTACACTGTGGGGGAGATCTGGCTGGGGGGGCCTTGAAAATGGGGACTTAAGGAAGTTGGCTAGCAGCTTCCGTGAGGCATTGAGTGAGCATGGTTTTCCAGCTCCCCAAAAGGAGGTATTTCTTTTTTGCCCCACCTAAAAAGAAGCCAAGCAGCTAAAACTCCACTTTTGTCACGGGCAACCCTTGCAACAGAACATTTCTGACCAGCCCCGGATCCACGTGTCATTGCAAGAGGAAAGTAAAATGTTTGAGGCCCCGCTGGGGTTGATCCCACCCACGGGCAGAACTGGTGGAACTTGATGCGTTGCCCCACTGTTGGGTAACACTGAAGTCCTGTTCCACGTCCCACTGCAGGCTGGAAATAGCACTATCAATTAAGATGGGTTTGTGTCCTTCCCCAAGATTGAATAGCAGCCAGGCTCTTCAAACATTGTGGGCAGCCCGTGTCCCCACGCAGAGCCAACTCAGACTAGCCCTGGCCTCCACTGACTTCTATATCTGAACCCTGTCATTATATCAGGGAACACCCCGGAGACAGTCACGGCTGTGGTGTCTGAGGTGCTGTGCAGACTTGTGGGGTGAGACGGTCCCTGCCTCAAATATCTTGCAGTCTGAATACCCAAAGAAAGAGATTATTTATCCCAGCTTTGCAGCTGGGGACCTAAGGCCCCGGAAACATTCAGGGCATGTCTAAATGGTGGGAAGAAGGTGTTTCATGAGCGCGATGTTGAATTAATTCTCTGTGTGGACCCTCTGGAAGGGGAGGGAATAGAGATCACAGAATCACTGGTGCGCATCCAAAGTGGGTGATTGTTCTGGAGGAAAACCCACCTCTAGTCTGGAGTAGAGCGTTCACACTGGGAACTGTTTTCAGAAGCATTGATGCCAGGCCACCTCGAAGCAACTTGGGTCTTCCATCTTTGCCTTTGCCCAGTGCCTTAACTCTAGAGGTGGCTTTTCCTCTTAAAGACACCCCCTGTCCTACAGCCATCAAAAAGGCAAGCAACATGTTGGGGATGATTAAGAAGGGAATTGTGAACAAAACTGAAATTATCACAATGCCCCTTTATAAATCTGTGGTGCATCCACACCTCGAATACAGCGCCCAAATCTGGTCCCCACATCTCAAAAAGGATATAGAAGAACTAGAGAAGATCCAAAGAAGGGCAACAAGGATGTTCAGCAGTATGGAGGGGCTTCCAGGTGAGGAGGGATAAAGGGGCTAGGTCTGTTCAGTTTAGAAAAGAGACCCTTGAGGGGCGGCGACAGGACCAAGGTTTACAAAATACTAAATGGTGAAGAGAAAGGAAATAGGGATCTATTATTTACTGCTTCTCACAATATAAGAACTATGAAAATGAAACTAGTAGGTAGTGAGTTCAACACAAGGAAGTTCTTTTTCACCCAGCGTGTAATTAATATATGGCACTCACCGTCACAGGATGCGGTGGAAGCTGACACTTTAACCAGATTCAAAAGGGGGGTGGACATATTCTTGGAGGGAAGGGGGCATCAGTAGCTGTTGAGCACGGGAGTGAGGGGGGCAGCCTCTGAATCGGACATTCCTGGACCTTCACTGCTGGAGGCTGGAAGGGGAAGAGGAACGAGGGAAACACCCTGCTCAGACCCAGGTCACTTCTTTTCATCATCTGCTCTTTGCCATGGTGGGATACAGGAGAGAGAGCAAAATGGACCTTTGGTCTGACCCAGTAAATGGCAGTTCTTTTGAACACATACGCATGCACACACGTACACACACGCACACACACTATGAATACAGGATCAGATCTGCACACACTTTGGATATAGGATCAGATCTACACACGCACACTTTAGATACAGGATCAGATCTGGAGGCACACGAACTTTGGATCCAGGATCAGATCTACACACACACACATGTGCGCGCGCTTCCCCAGCAGGTGCATTGTGACTCACCAAGGGGGAAGAGCTGACTGCAGCTGCAGGCAGCCTGCCAGATCTGTTAGACCCGGGGTCTGCTCGAGTGCTGCACATCTGACACTCAGGCAGCCTTCCCAGCAGAGCAGGCAGGAGCCTTGCCTGTGCAGGCGTGCATGACCTCCCTCTGTCCTTGATGATGCAAAGGAGGGTGGTGCATTGGAGGGGGGTGTTATCTGGGCGGAAGGAGTTTTTGCTTTAGAAGCTGGTGGTTAGATGCAATTAGATCGACCTGACCCATGGTTCCTGATTCAGATGCATCTATGGGACCTCTTAGAAACACAGTTTGCTTCTCCTGACCCCCTGGGATGCACACCTGAGCCCAGTTCCATGGGAGGGGGAAATCAATATCAGTGGGGTCATCTTAGTTTAGATCCACATCAGATCTGACCCTGACCTTATCAGAATGGTGTCCGGATTCTGCTATGGTCTGATTCTCTCCCTGCATGAACATGGTTTGGGAGCTGGGGCATGTGACTTATGTGGAGCAGTTGAGGGAAAATGGGCTTATTTAGCCTGGAGAAGAGGAGACTGAGAGGGGATTTGATAGCAGCCTTCAGCTCCCTGCAGAGTGCTTGCAAAGAGGATGGAGCTGGGCTGTTCTCAGTGGTAGCAGATGACAGAGCAAGGAGCAATGGGCTCCAATTGCAGCAAGGGAAGTTGAGGTTGGATATTAGGAAAAACTTTCTCACTAGGAAGGTAGTAAAGTGCTGGAAAAGGCTACCCAGAGAGGTTGTGGTGTCTCCATCCTTGGAGATTTTTAAGGCCTGGCTTAACAAAGCTTGGCTGGGATGATGTAGTTGGGGCTGGTCCTGCTTTGAGCAGGAGATTGGACTAGATGTGACCTCCTGAGGTCCCTTCCAACCCTTATTTTCTATGATTCTGTGCTTCTATGAATATCTCCCACTGGCAAGAAGCAGTGAGGATGATACAAGTGCATCTAGACCATAGGCTTAGGATAGGATGAATCAGACCACTGGCTGCTATTGAGGTCTACCTGGATGGAGGCAGAACAGTGTGTCCTGGGCCCTGTAGTACTAGCAGCAAATGGAGAGTCTTCTTTAGCCTAGTTGGTAGGAACTGGATCTGTCACAACAGAAAGGTCTCAGTACTGCCCCCAGCTTTGAGTAGCTGCAGCATACCGCAAAATATTCTCTGTGATGTCTTGGTCGGGGGTGGGTTTCCTCTGTAGGCAATTAAAAATCTCTCCTCCCTGCAGAAGTTTCTCAGCTCTCCGTCTTAGGTGACTTTTAGCATCCAGGAAAGCAGAAAAGATTTTTGCAAAACAAGTCAAGAGAACTGCCTTTTGAGTTCAGATTTCCTTTCTGAGCCACTTCTGCACGTGGCATGATCTTGCGTGTGCAAGGAGGGAGCAGAGGGACAGAAGCCACATGAAAAGAAACATCACAAAACCTCAGTTACTGGTATTGAAAACCCTGGCGTCACTTTAGCAGAGAGCTCTTGAAAGCTCACGCGTTAGCACAGCCCATCAGTTATTGTTTATGTGATGGCAGCACGTGTGGCCTTAGCTGCACTCCTGCCCACACAGTGCCAGGCGCTGTACAGAGGTCCACAAGAGCCCAGTTTAATGGAGCCAGTTAGAAAGGGGTTTATTTCCTTCCAAGAGACCTATGCATGTGGAGGATAATTTACTCTGTCTGTGCCACCGGTCAGGGAGCATTCTTCCCCCTCCACCCAGGTGAATGGGACTGATACCCAGGTCTGAGTGCAATAAGGCGATGCTTCTTGGGGTTGGGAACATGAGCAAAGGGTAGGCAGAGATGCAGAGGAAGTAACTTGAGGTGTTGCAAGAGGTCGCAGCCCAAGTCTCTGCCACCTTTCCCAGCCCCCAGTCCCAGGCATTGCAAGGCGCAAGGGACTTTCACCCATCCATCAGTGGAGCACTCAATGCTGGCTGGGCTGTTTGATGAGATGTCGGTGTGATCCCTCTGACACCAGCATCCTGTATCCTTAGAGGCCTCCTGTGGTTGACACTTGTCTGTCATTCCTCATGCACCACGTTTCGCTGCCTGATTCTCCTTGACAGCACGACGGGGGCCTCTCCGGAGTGGTGTAACTGGGTCATTGCGTCAGGAAAGCCAGCCCCGAGTGCCAAGGGGACGGGTGTTGTGACAAGGGTCCTATACAAGGCCTTGAGAGACGTGTTCTGGCTGGGGGAGCTCTGCAAACTCCATGCCCTCTCCTTGTCCTGGTTGTACTTGAAATGAAATGGCTGTGAGAGAACAGGGCAGAAGGGCTTGTGATCAAAGAGGCTGTGAACAATGGGAGAGGCAAGGGTTTCTGTGGGTGCTCTCTTTTATGGGACCAACTGCGTGGCTGGGATAAAGGTAGAGTGCAGTAGCTAGCTTTGTTAGTCCGAAGTCAGTCAGAAGACAGGGTCAAGCTGCACCTCTAGAGACTACATGAGCGTCATTAGACAAGCTTTTTAATGCAAGACAATGGAAATAATCTTCATTTCTCTTTCTCCCTGTCTCCACCTTTGACCTTCTCTCCATCTTTCTCTTCCTTTGTGCTCCCCTCCCATTCCCTTCTTCCCTTTCCAACCCTTCCTCCCCTGCAGACAAGCCAGCCACTTATCTCACGCCACCACGTTGACTGTCAACACCAACCCCAACATCAGCATCAAGTCGGAGCCTGTCTCGCCCAACCGGGAGCGCAACACGGCCACGCCGCTGACCTCCTTCCCACACCAGAACCGCCACGAGCCCACGGGCCGCTCGCCCGTTGACAGCCTCAGCAGCAACGCCAGCTCCTACGAAGGCAACGAGCGGGAAGACCCCGCCCGGGCTGACTTCAGCTCATCCCTCGGTCTCCTGAGACCCACGACGGAGGCCGAGGGGGAGAGCCCGTCTGTAAAGCGCATGCGGCTGGACACCTGGGTAACATAACCAGCTCCCTGCTCTCTTCAAAGCTACTTTGTGCTCGCACCTGGGGATAGGGAGGGGGGGAGCGGGTGGGGT